CATTGGACGTGCTTTACAATTTTGCGACATTAATCTTTTGGCAGATGATACTGTGTTATTCAAGGATTTAGATGCTGCCAAAGATTTGCATTCTCTAGGTAGATGGTTGAAGTATAAGCAATTGAGATTGAATGAGAATGAAAAAAATGAGAACGTCTTTGTAGTAATTGATGATGAGGCTATTGATCGCGTTCGGGGGATTAAATATTTTTGCGTGTTTATTTATGAGAAACTTAAGATCAACTCTCACATTGACAATGTCATCAATAAAATTGCCAGGAAGTATGGCATTCTATGTCGGTTGAAAAACGATTTAACTATTACCACATGTCGGTACTGTAAAGCCTTGAAGGCCTGGAACAATTCTGATGGAGCTCTTATCTATGTACTGTAAAGTTTTGAAGGCCTTGAACAATTCTGATGGAGCTCCTATCTTGAAGTTACCCCAAAATACCCATGAAGAATTCTCTTTGAACCGACCCACAGTGTCCCCAGAGTTCTATGTGAAGTTTTCAAAGAATAATCTCCAAAACTCACTACGTTTTAATTATCAAATTCTATACCAGCTCTTCACAACTCAATTATATTTTTCTCAAAAAACCGCCGAATTGCCTGCATATAATATTCATTATTTTCTTAGCTGAATTGTAATGGAATTTTAATTAAAATTCAGCTAATAATTCATCTGAAAATTGTACTCATAATGCCTTATTTGTTTTTCTAAAATTTCCTTGGAAAGCTCCTAGATGTTCAGTTCAGTGATGCTTTCCTTTGAATTTTCTTCTATTTTTCTTTGTAAATTTGGCATTAACTCTCCACAGAATTGGAGCCTATACATATCTAAGGAACTATTTTCCGATACATTATTAGTAGAATTTATTCTGATTTTTTTTATCAGGATGCCATTGGAGTTTGTGTAAGAATTGTCTTGTAATTGTTGTTAGAATTACTCACTAACCAAACAATCATTGAGAGCTGTTTGTTGGGAATACATACTTCTCGGAATTTCTTTGGAACTGTCATCACAATCATTTCTCAAATCCCCTTTAAATTCTGCTCAGAATTCGATTTAAATATCAAAATTTTTCTTAATTTTCCTCAGAATCCTCATGAATTTACCCTTACAAGTTCTGACCAAGCATGCAGTAGTTCATTACAGCTAAAATGCTATTATTCGGAACTATGAAAGTATGAGATATTATAACCATATTTTTTATTTGTAAGATGCAGGAAGAGGAGGTAAAGTTTATGTATGACACATAAAACCTATCAATTAAGCTTCCAGAGTGTCACAATTAGCGATAAGCTATAACGATGAGGGCTCACTCATCGCGATTGTTCCTTACAGCTAAAATCACTCATTGTGACCCTTTGAAAGCAAAATTGACAGGTTTTATGTGTCATACACATACATTACCTCCTCTTCTTGTATCTAACATATAAAAATTATTATTATAAGATCTCATAGTTTGATAATTTCTAAAACTAGTAGCTGTAATGTAATGAGCATTTTCAAGCTTAGTATTGAGCCTTGAAATTATACTCATAACTACCATTACTACGCCCTAGGAAATCCGTTCAGCATTCCTTAAATAATCTCTCCTTGGAATGCTGTCAAGAAAGTTATAATCTCCATAGAATTCCCTTGGAGCTATCTTCAGATTCAGATTGTTTTGGAATTATCACAATTCTCATGGAGTGGAGGCGAACCAGCCCCAGGCTGAAAGCCTCCATAATAAAGATAAATTAATTAATTAATTCTCATGGAATTTATACTAGAATACCTTCGGAGTTCTTGTTATATTTTTTAGGAAATTGCGGACAGAACTTCTTTCGTATTTTCATTAAAAATATGTTTTAATTATCCTCAGAGTTCCCGTTCAGTTATTATGAGAGCTCCTTTGAAACTTCCCCAAGAATACCTTTTGTACTTTTCCTGGACTGTACAATCTCTATGAAAATCTCCTCAATAGCACATGTAGTTCTACTCATAAGTCCCTTGGAATTGATGTTACAATTTACCTGAAGTTCTTTTCAGTTAGTCCATGGAATTTTTTCATAATTTAGAGAGAAAATCGTTGCAAAAAAGCATTCTAGGAGAAATTGATATAATGTCGACTTAAATGCCCCTAATTTGGACCCATACATAAATTCAGCAATCGACTAAATGTTCAATAGCGTCCAAAAATATCCATTAGAGCAGTCAGAAAAAAACTTCCGGGAAAGTTAAAAGAAGCTGACTGACTCCCGACATCCAAGACGGAAGAATTGTCCGGTGCAAGTTGAAAAAAAAGCTTTCAGAAAAAGTTTAGCGAAACTTCCAGAAGAAGTCGGAAGGAGCTTTCAATCTAAATCGTTAGAATTGACCAATGTCAGTCAGAAGAAACTTCAAGATCAAGTCTAGACAAATTGGAATCAACTTCCAGAAAAGATGCAGGACTCTTTCGATGGAAGTCGTAAAAAACACCCTAATAAAACTGGAACAGGCCTACGCGGAAAGATAGACGACAGTTAAGGTAACCATTCCAAGAAAACTAGAATAAATTTTCAGGCGTGACCTTAAGATTCTTTTAGGGGAAAATAAACTATCAGGATAATTTGGAAGAATCTTCCGCAGAAGGTTAGAAAAAACTTCTGAGCGATGTCTGAAGAATCTTTCAAAGGAAATCAGAAGAAACTTTCAGAGGGACCTGGAAGAAACTCCTGAAAAAAAAAGTATGGAGAAGTCGGACGACACGTCCTGGAGTAGTTGGATTTAACATCTGGAACAAGTTTACTTCCAGAGAAGTCAGACGAAACTTTTGGGGGAAGTTCAAAAAATCTTCCCGGGTAAATCAAAATATTAAAATTAAATTGATATATTTATTTAATAGGGTAAATTATGGCTTCGGCACCCATTGACTGTTTTCGGCAACCGAAATAGAATCGTTTATTTCACTGTATTTTCCCGTCAAAACTCTTCGCTGAATGTATTAAGCCGATTCCTTATCTTTTCAGCTTCAATCTGATTACATTTTTACGGCTGTGAATTCCTGTTATACCATATTTTTCTTTAAATGAAATATACATACTACAAAATACGGCTGATTTCGAGTTGCCGATAATAGAACAGCTGGTTAACACACAGTTCAAATGCAAAGGGTGCCGAAGAAAAAGAGACTGCCGACAATAGTCACTCTCACCTGAGAAGTTTGGAGCGTTGTAAAAACATGTTCAACCCGTTTTGATCAATTCTGTCGATTGGAATTGGTAGAACAGCAAGCAGCAGATAAATGTCAACAAACAAACCTGTCATGTATGTGTGTGACGCTGAGAAATCGCTAATAGAAGTTCGGACGCTGCTTAGATTGACGAGAATACGTAAATTCCCCTACTTAAGGGAATGTAGTTGTACAGAAGCTCAGCATTGATTTTCCTTCGGCTAAAATCATCCCATGGGGTGCTGTTATAATGAAAGAAATACTAAAAATTTGATTTCCAAAATCTCCACGATTTAAAAGAAAACACTTAGTTGAAGATGCTTATTTCAAATAACAGACTAAAGTGGTAATTTTTATACGATAGATGAGGAGGAAATGAAAGTATAGAATTGATAGTTCCGTTAGAGTACGGCAGTGTGAAAATTGTATATAGAGAGTAGACAGCGAGCTAGGACAGCTTTTTTAAGGAAGGTACAAATCGGTTTTATCATTGCTCTTTACCAAACTTCCCCTTTGGATAGGGATGGTAAGGGGTGCCTCCCCCCCCCCCCCCTGCCACCATTGGCAAAAAGAGATGATCGCCAACCACTCAAGTACCAACGATGTGTTTGAAACAGTTCTACCGATTTTTACCGCACTCCAGTTGTTATTTGAAGGAAGGCATCCAGTCGTAGGTTTGGAAATTGCAGCTATTGTGAGGGGGACACCCCTCACCATCCCTCTCTAAAGGGGAAGTTTGGAAAAGAGAGATGATAAAACCGATTTGTACCTTCCTTAAAAAAGCTGTCCTAGCTCGCTGTCTACTCTCTATATGCAATTTTCACACTGCCGTACTCTAAACGGCACTATCAATTCTATACTTTAATCTCACCCTCATCTATCGTATAAAAATTACCACGTTAGTCTGTTATTTGAAATTAGCATCTTCAAGCATGAAAATCGTTGACTTCACGCAGAAGTAATACCAAACATATATTCAAAGTAGAAAACACTGTCCCCTGCATTTTGATACTTCATAAGATTGTTAAGGGGAATCCTGATATCGAAAATAATTCTGGAGATATTTTGAAATAATCCTAAGGAAATTCATGAGAGATCAACTGTTCAGCAGGCAACATTAGTGTTTCTGGCGCGTATACTGCACAATACAGTGTTGCCAAAAAACAGCTGCTTAATCATGCTATAAGAGTATCAATCTCTTAAACAACTAATCACTATTTTAATTGACGTTTGACCTAAAAACTATATTTTGCAAAGTAGTAGTTTCCCAAATGAATAACTATAGAACTTTTTAACAGTGTAATATGGAGAAAGACTAGAAGAATAAGAAGTGTTGATTTCCCATAGTAATTTTCATATAAACTTCAAATCGTTTCTGCCAGGTCAGTTTCTTACCAAATAAATTCAAATTTTGAGACTAACCAGGGCCCGATTTGGAACGGTTTGAGCACTGTGGATCGAAAATGCCAAATTTTGCATCAGCCTAGTGGCCACCCTGTATGAATATTCAGTTCGGAGAAAAAAAATCAAGCCCATCATGCCATTATGTTCATTATTCAAGTAATCAATTCTTCTCATCTGTACAAACATAATAGGTTCGGATGTGTGAATGAAATACCAATTTGCTGAATAAATTTGTTTCGCTTGTGATGGCTACCGATTCACTAAGTGATGAATGAACAACCAACGAAACATTATGCTGATGATAGTTTTCCTCTCGTTTTTTTTTCTCTCTCTCTCTCTGAAATCCCTTCCTCTTAGCATAACAAACGAAAAAAAAAAAAATCTAAAAACACTCACCATGCCTTCACCCGGATCAGCACCTCTCCAGCCTGCGGGGCCGGTTCTGGCTTCTTCAGGATCTTGACGTTCTTGAATCCACCGAAACCGGTCAGCACGACGGCACGCATCTCTTTCGGCGGTGGAACGTCCTCCTTGGGTTCGGATTTGGCTTTGTCGTCGGCCGTCGTTCCATTGGTTTCCTCGGTGGATTTCTGTTCCGCTGCGGCTGGCTGATCTTCGGCGTGTCCGTTGGTGGTGACTGCCACCTCCGCCGGTGCCGCATTTTCATTCGTGGGCGAGGGGGTCTTAACCTCGGCGACAACTGCTGGAGCTTCGGTAGTTTCGGTCATTTTGATTGGGTTCGTGGAAACGTTTGTCTTTCAAACGCAGCGAAGAAACGTTTCTGGCGGCGTGGGTGCTGGAATTGCTCCTCTGGTGATTTCAGCGGAGTTCTGCGTTTGCTCGGGAACCGGTGAAGCTCCTATAGCTGTGTCAAGGTAAGAAAGGGAAAAGTGTGAAGAAGAAAATTAATTAGAGCCTATTAATCAACATCAAACGGAAGTGTCTGGCACGGCAGCGCGGAGGGTTCGACAGTGAAGGGAAGTTTAAAGGTAGATGAGGAAGGTCTACGAAGACTGAAGGCGATGTAAATATTTATAAACATGACTACAGGCTGCTACTAGAGAGAGTGGCAGAGATTTTTTTTTCTCAAATGAGGTGCACTTTGAACATTGTTCGGCTGATAATTGTTGTTTGCTTTTTATGCTTCTTTAGATTGTGTTATGAGCCGACGGAGCGATGTGTCAAGCTATTTGCTCATGAATATTTTGAACACAAAAAAAAACCACAACTCATCACTCATTTTAGGAGGAATTTTTCATCGTCAATATCCAATGTAAGGTATCATAATTTTGATTATTTTCAAAGACGTCGTGTATTCTTCGTCCGTCTCCTGTTTTTCGTTTTCCTTGATTGATGGTCAAAGTGTTGTCAAAACAGAGATTTTCATTTAAGTCGGTAGTATATCACTTATAATTCTACAAGTAAAGCAAATTAAATTTGTCTTTTTCTCGGCTGGCTTTTGCTACTCGAAGCACATTAATAATGTATTGTATCTTAATAAGGGTTTTGATAATTTCAGTGCTTAAAAAACATATCGAAAGAAACCCAATTAACAAAGGTCATTTAAGTTTTTCGAAAGCATCCCGGCTGGAAAAGGTCGTCGCAAATTGTCAATCCAATAAATCACGTTGGATTGGTCTTCTGTGGTATTATTTTAGAAAACATCGTTCCAAGAATCTAACGCCAGAGAAAGCCAGACAAGGAACACTTTTCAGGTAGTTTGAAACGATTCGCCTAGCTGGCGTCGTCACCAACGTAACTGACCACACTTTTTCCGAGAACTGCCGTCGAAACCCATTAACATGTAACGCCCGTTTCCCTTTCTTGACTAGATCGAATGGACAAAAAAAAACGCCGAGTACCCCAATCAAAACTTTCTTCTTGGGGTCGGAACCAGCATAAAACCCTATGGCAGCTATAACCAACCATTACTGGTCGACCGACCAGTGTGGATCAATAAATCCAATTAAATCGATACGGATCTCCTACACACTCTCTGTCTGCCTGTCTGCCAGTCAAGGGTGTGCGCTTGGCTGCCGGAGAAAGGGGTTCGGTTTATTCCAAGACTCTACGCGCCAGTTGGCCGGCTGGGGGTCGGCCAGAAACACGCGAACAAACAAATTTGCTGTCTCGGTTTAGGGATGATAAATTATTACTTAGTCAGCCACACAATCCCTCCAGGGAATGTCACAGCACTCAGCGCGCGCAAATGGAATGCGAAATGTTTTGCACACATGAACTCATCTGATCTACTTTACGGACGACGACGCCTCATTGAGTCGGTGCAATTTGCTATCAAATAATTTTTGCCACTTTTTATCATCCTGACATAAATATTGCACTCTTAAATCAAACATGCATCATGAGGCCTAACCACAAACACTTCCATTCTGTGCTCCATTTTGCGCTGCTTGCACCAGCAGCAGCAGCAGCACCATCGTCATCCAAGAGCCATTATAAATTATCTCTCATTTCATCCTCAAGGTTTTTTTTTTCTGTCTTCATCTCGGAGTACATACATGGTTGCACCAGTGCATTCCGGTTGTTCCTCTCTGCTGATGTTGCTCCTGCACCAGAGATGGTGCAAATGACGATCATCCAGCCAGCAGTAACCGGGCAATGAGAAAGAAGCGAGAATGAAGGACGCGCGATGGTTAAGGGTTAAGAAACCATACCAAAGACTTATAACAGAGTCACACACAGCAGCATTCATCATCATTCTTCCCTGGGCGAATACATCATCATAACTATGGCACTATATGTGTGGTTGACTCAAACAACGATGCAGTTATGGACAGAAATGCGGCAGTTCTTGAAGATTCAGTACGTATCTCGCTATTGGATCGAAGATATCGTTATAGGATGGAGCATTAGAATTGATTGAAAGATGGCAGTATGCCATTCATATGCAATATGCATAAAGTAGAAAACTCTCAAGCCTGGAGAAATGTAGCCATGAAAAAATAGCGTAGGTTTACATTACGAGGACTTAAAGGTTGAACACGAAAAAATCCGGACACATTAAAAACGCTGCCAAGGCTAAAAGCATTTTTTGAGTAATTTTTTTCAAAATTTCACTGAATCAATCTAAGAGTGTATAGAATCACAGTAGGCATTGGTTGTCAGGATAAGTTCATTTGTTTACATCTTGGCTTCACCGGAGCAAGCACACGCGATTCGATCCTGCACGCTCGAAACGAAAATCCCGGTCTATCCGCTCCTGGCAGATTTTGATCAAATTCCTGGGTAGGAATTTTATACCTCCTTTGAACGGAAGAATGTAAAATCAAAAAGAAGCTGAAATTCCCAAAAAAGCTCCTCATCTGGCAAGCAATCTGCAGTTGTGGGCTGAAAAGCGGAACTTTCGTTACTTCTGGTACCATGAACCAACAAATTTACCAGGAGTGCTACGGAAGAGTTTACTACCTTTTCCTTTCTTTGCAGCATAAGGTGAAAATGGCGTCACAGTGGTGATGGAGATGTTATGTGTCAGCGAAATCACGTGATATAGCATCAAAACAGCAAGTGGATTCGCTTTACGTTGATTTTGCGACCGCACAACCTCATCATTAGCAAGATGAAACACATAGGATTTCCAACCTGGATCACGGAATGGCTCAACTCGTACCTGCCTGACCGAAATGCTTTCGTCGTGGTGAATACCGTACGCTCCAGGATCTTTGACACTCCATCTGACGTACCACAAGGCAGTGTTCTCGGTCCTCTTATTTGTATTATCTATGTGAATGACTTGTGTGAGCTGCTCTCATCGTCCAAACTGTCTTATGCTGATGACCAAAAATTTCCTCGTGTAATTGTTTCTCCTGCCGACTGTGTTGCAGTACAAGAAGATATAAATCGTTTGCTAGTCTGGTGCGGCGACAACGGCATGCGAGTCAACAGCAAAAAATGCAAAGTAATATCCTTCACCCGCTGCAATAGCGTTACTCTTCATCCATTCTGCATGGGACCGGATTCCCTAGAACGTGTAAAAACAATCTGCGATCTAGGTGTTACGATCGATTCCAGGTTAACGTTTTGTAAACACATAAGCATCATAACTGCCAAAGCATTCACTGTGCTTGGTTTCATTCGTCGTCATGCTTCTGGTTTCACCGATGTGTATTGCCTCTAGACACTATTCTGCTCGCTGAATCGTAGTATCTTAGAATATGCTTCCCCAGTGTGGTTTCCATTTTACACTACGCATACACTTACGATTGAACGAATTCAGAAAAGTTTCATGAGATTTGCTTTACGTCAGCTCCCATGGAATGATCCAGTAATTCTTCCTAGCTATCCAAACCGATGGAAGCTGATTGATTTGGAATCTCTCTCAGCAAGGCGTATCAACTGACTGTTCATATTGGACCTAATTACCGGCAATGTGGACTGTCCCAAAGTGCTGTAACGGATTCCATGGAATATTCCTCCTCGCAGATTTCGTAACTCCCCGTTTTTTCCCTCTGTTTGGGAAAAAATACCACTGTGACCAGTAAATTGATCTATTGTAGATCGCGTGTTCTTGGTTTAGTGCATGTCGGATTACTCCATCACTATTGAGAAACGATGAAGTATTCGGTTTTGATACAGTTGTCATTCTTACCTTCATCGCAAGGAATCGATTCTAATTGAAAGGTCCCGCTATTACTACCCTTCGGAGTATTGGAACACCCTCCAAAGACGCGCCCTTTTGTCAGTCAAAATTGGATTCCTTAGCAAAAAAAAAGCGATGACACCGATAATTACCATGTATCAGAACTCTAGTCTTAACCACTTTAAACTAGGGAACAACGAATAGAAGATTATGAATCACATAAGTAAAGACTAAGTAATTCAATTTTTCCTTGTTTGAAGATCATCCTCGATTCAGGCAACCCGAGGACTTATCTCTATCAACAAAACATAAAAAGTAACAAGGACTAAGGTGTGTTGCTTTGATTACTGAAAAATCCTGTTCCTCTAGATTGTATCGGTGGTAGATCTTACATCCCGTAACGTACCACAAAAAGGTGATCTACCCACGTTACGGCCCAAGTAACATTTTAAGTTTTATGAAATACTACAAAGCAACTATAAAACAACATTCATAAAACCCTGGTCAAGGCTATCTTGTCATTAATGCATCCACCAAAACCTCATTAAGACTAGAATATGTCTAGTTGGCCCACCCTGAAGAAGGTTCTGAAGGGTGTATTCTCGAAGCTCTTCAAGATTGATTTACTGCAAAAGGTTGTATGACGAACGCATTGAGAACCGTTTGAAAACTACAACAAAAGCTATTTAGCAACAATAAAAACCCTTTCCGAGCCATTTCCCCTAGCCGCTTACTAAATCCACTAGGAAAGCATCAATCAAGATAGAAAAGGATTTATGAATCCGATCTTATCAAAATAATTAAAATAAAAACTGATGGTATAAAAATTGTGTTGAATCTCCAAATTTATTACAATAGTTCTCATTATGTGGCCTAGTTTTAAGTGCCTTATTAAATGTCATGTGAAGTGTACATGAAAACATCGAAAAAAAATAGGTCCGCTCTCGTAAAACGTCGATTTGACTAATTATTTTACATTGAATCAAATAAATTATTTTTCAGATCGAGCTAGGCCGAGATTATTTTTTTATGATTTTCGCATTTAAATGTTTGCTCATTGCTAAATTTACCAAAATATAGTTATATCCAAGGAAATATAGATAGAAAATCGAAAATTGTAAACAAAAAAGCAAACTAATTGCAACATGGCGGTGGCATAAAAGTTGATTTTCATGGGTCATTTGTGAAAAAGTTGTTTTGCTTTTAAGAAATCCATAAAAAAATCCTTAGGTTGTAAAATGGCTTTTATGAAGAAAACTTGCAGGCTG